AGTTCCTTCGATTCATCGATCATATACAGAGAATAAATATCTTCGCGAATCCTAGAAGATTCATCTTTGCATAAAGTATATCTTCGATATCTCACTGGGAATTGCAACAGATGGCTCGAGGTTGCCCCGTTAAATCACCCCCTATTGAATCGTATTTATAGTACATCTTGTTTGGAATCACTAGGAAATATCATTGCTCTGTGTTCAGCTTACCACTTCGTCCAGGATTTTGCCATTGCTGGACAGCACCGAAGCCTTAGAGTAAAACTACAAGTTATAGCGACTTTTTTCATGATTATTTTGTATGTTTATAATTGTGATTACATGGGATTATCATTTTGCAGAATTGCTAAATGAAGTGATCCGACCTTTGAGACGAAGTGATAAAGGCGGTGGATGGAATGTGCTGGTGGTGGATCGTCTGGCAATGCGAATGCTCAGTGCATGTTGTAAAATGCATGATATTATGGATGAGGGAATCACGATTGTTGAAGATATCAGCAAACGTCGAGAACCACTAACTGTAAGTTAAGCTTACTAGCTTAGAACAGAAAAAGAGGTTACTACGATTTTGGTCGATGAAAGAACGATTAAAATTTACCAGCTGATCAGTTGAGTAATTAGTTAGGTTCGGATAAGCAGAAGTGAATTAAATACGACTTCGTGGCATTACTTCCAGTGTTTTCATTAATTGTCAAAATTCGATTGTGTTCCTCTCCGCGCTGGTTGGCCAACAACACCAAACAAACTGCATATGTTAACGCATAGACGCGATTTCAGGCCCTCGTCCTCTTCCAATCTCCTAGCCAGAGATATTCATTGTTTATATCTTTAAAATTTCTGCAATACTTAATGGACTATTTGTTATTTAGGCAAATCTGTAAAAGTGTTGAATTTTTTTTCAGAGTTTGGACGCGATATATTTGATTGCCCCAACGCGAGATTCTGTTGAAAAGCTAATTACAGATTTTATGCATGGGCGTAATCAGTACAAATGTGCACATGTTTTCTTCACCGAAGGTTCTTCTTTTGATCTTTGATATTTTAAGACTTTCTGGATTAGAAAGGAAGATTTATGAATTTTTATCTATGTGTATTTTTCCGAGTAGAAAGGAAGATCTATCTATCCATGTATATTTTTTATGAATTAATGGTACCAGCTGAAAAAGGGACAAAGATTAGGGCGATCTTTGAAGAAGTAGCGGTGGTAGTTTTGAGAAATGTACGTGAATATGTATGTATTTGTGTGTGTTTGTGCATATATGTGCATGTGTATGTATGTATGTATAATTGTGTATTTATGTATGTATTTATGTATGTATGTATGTATGTATGTATGTATGTATACATGCATAAATGTATCCGTATGTGTGGCGGCATGGCGGAGTAACAGGTACTGCAGAAGGTCAAGGGTTCGACTTCACCTTTGGAATTACCATTCTCTCTGCAAGTCGTTCATTCATTTGGATGGTAAATTGGCACCATCCGCATTTTATAGAGCAAAAAACGCCATTAGTTTAATTTTACCCAATCCCACGAAAGAGGAGGCCATAAACTAGTACTATTAATCAGGGTATTTTCGAATACCCCTGGGGTTAGGGGTGAGGGGAGGGAAGTGGGGGACTGGCGTAAATGTTAGAAAGGCCTGTCTAAATCTCAGCAATCTCAAGAGCTCTGCTCTGATAATCTCGTGAGGCTATAATGATGGTTTGATACTAATAAATAATTTCAGCATGCCCCGATCAGCTGTTTTCGATATTATCAAAAAGCAGCGCTGCAAAATTTATCAAAACACTAAAAGAAATAAACATTGCATTCACACCATATGAATCACAGGTACAATAGAAAAAGCATTTGTTTTTTCTTTGGTAGGAAAAAATTTAAAAAAGAATGTTTATATTTTTTTGCTTTTTGGATCTTGGATTTCAAATTTTGGCTTTCGATTTTTTCATTAAACTTGTTTGCGAAGTTATTTTTTGGCGAAAGTCAGGGTCCCCCTCCCTCCTCCCCGCCACCCTGCGGCACAGGCACTAGTGTTACAAAAGTCTGGGCCTAAAGTTAAAACTGAAAACTCTCTTCCGCATCCCCACGTCATCCCCCTCCCTCCTCCCTCCTCCTCAGAAGACTGCTCTGAATCCGTTCATGGATGGAGAAGTTGTCAGCTGTAAAGTTAGAGGGCCAGGCTATAAACTGATGGTTTTTTGTTTCACTGGTTCTCCAAATGACCGTGTTGGCTGAAATTGTTAAAAATTTTAGGTCTATTCGCTTGACTCACCAGATACATTCTTTCTGTATTATAATGCACAGAAACAGGGCGACTTAACGACTAATTTGGAGCGTATCGCCGAACAGATTGCTACTGTATGTGCTACTCTAAGCGAGTATCCAGTATTGAGGTACTTCTGAGATATTATTTTTTACGTTTCAGTTAGCTTTGTTTACTTATTTACTCAGAATCACCGTTTTCTATTATATTTACATACTGCTCACAAGGATTATCACTAAGAACGCTTGATCTTGAGCCTAGGAGTGCACAGCGCTATGCCAGCAAGCGTTTTTTACAGATGGTTTTTCTACATTTTTTTATAGAATAAAAAGGCAATAATATAGAATAAAATGTTAGGATCAGAGATAATGGGTCAATTTAAATATGTACTGATGGATATTTTGTAGAACAGCCTACGTTTCATCCCTTAGCTGTAAACATTGATAAAATAAAGCATGGGAGAGGAATAGTAATCATCAGTATAGTCTTGCATCAATATCCGAGCACCTTGAATGAGGGTAAAAAGAAGAAACTGGAAGAAAATTTGAGAAATAATGAAAGAAGAAATGAAAGGAGTTTAGTTTAAAAAAAGAAAATGTTTAATAAAATATAGGAAAAAGCATAAATTTTGGAAATCCAGTAATCGTGATTTTTTTGCTTATTTCTTTGTGTTTTTAATAGAATTTTTTTCAGGTATCGTGCTGATTTTGAGAGAAATGTCGAGTTAGCGCATTTGGTCCAGCAGAAATTGGATGCTTACAAAGCCGATGATCCATCGATGGGTGAAGGTGCTGACAAAGCCCGTAGTCAGTTGATGATATTGGATCGTGGTTTCGATGCGACCAGTCCATTGCTCCAT